TGCTCAATTGGTCTAGTCATCTCTGGGCCAGTAGTAAAATATGAAATTTCTAATAGATATATAATAATCTTAGTTATTCTTGGATCTTTCTTTTTTCATCTGCATTTTAGAATTATCCCTTCATCTCCCACCAAGAACTCTTTTAGGATTTTATCTGGAATTGCATTAAGCTATAAATTAATATTGGAAAAATTAACATTTTTTGCAATAGTAAGTTTGTCTTCTTCAATTTCTTGTACTGACATTTTATCCTTTTCCCACATGGTTCTTGCACATCTTTTGTTAGATTTATTTTTAACTAACTTACACTTTCTTGCTATTTTAAGGAGTATCATTTTTTATAATAAAATTAAGCATCCTGCTTGTCACTGGCACATAGAATAGAAAACAGTTTGTACTTGACATTAGATTTAATAATCTTACTCAACCCCTATTTTATAGTATATCTGTAGCTACTTTTGGATTGTGTATAAGAAAAAGTTCTATTACATATAAGTAATAAAATGTTTGTATTCCTTCTAAATTTCTAAGATTTGCTGTTATTTCTTGCCCTTTTGTACAGGCTAAGATCTTCCCTTATAACATTAGACAAATACAGTCTACTTTCTAAGTTTAAAGGGAATATTTTTAACATTTCACCTTGAAAAGCATCCTTTCCTATGGTCTCTTTTTTCATAAAAAGAGTTTTTACTTGTTCACTTTTATATTGCTAATATATTTTTTCTAAACAATGAAGAGATGGCAAATTTAATCAAACTTTTCTCTGCATCTGATGATAATCAATCCTCCATTAACCTAGTAATGTCTGTAAGTTCTGTTAGATATTTTGTGTTGAGATTATTCAGAACTTTTTTCTCATAATGTCCTTAATTCCTATTGTTGGAAGATTTGATACTTTTACAATTCTAAATTTACAGTTACTTTTCTTGAAACACTTTGAAGACTTGGTTCCAACATCGTCTAACACCTATTGCTGCTGACAGCAATGTAAATTATTTACATTTAGCAATATGTCATTTATTCTGCTTAATCTATACTGCTTCATCCTAGCCTGGATTTATGTTTTCTTGGTTCTAGTTATGTTGGCTAAAAGCTCTCCAACATTGTCTACCTTCCCTTTCCACTATCTTGAGACTGAGAACATCCATTTCTGTCCTCTGTGTGTTTTCAGTTTGTTTGTATATCTTACACTTTCAATCTAGTTCACTGATTTTTTTCCCCTTAAGCATGCCTAATTTGCTACTTAACATATATTTAAAATTTTTTTCATGATATTGTCTTTTATTGAGAAAACTTGTGTTATCTTAACTCTTTCATGTTTGTTACTTTCCAGTTGTCTCCTCATTTTTTTTAAGAGAGAGAGAATTTTAATATTTATTTTTTAGTTTTCAGCGGACACAACATCTTTGTTTGTATGTGGTGCTGAGGATCGAACCCGGGCCGCACGCATGCCAGGCGAGCGCGCTATCACTTGAGCCACATCCCCAGCCTCTGTCTCCTCATTTTTATGATAAATTTTATTTTCTTAAATGTTTCAGATGTCATTATAACAGATCTTTTTATTCTAATTCCTAAAATCCTTAAGCTTATCTATTTATTGATAAAATTACTCATTACTCATTCTTATGTTTGCATTGTTTATTCTCTTGGGTGTGTCCTACCCTTTGTTGATTTGATATACTCAATCTTAGGCAAATTCAAGTCCTAAACATAATGCTTTTCTCCATATGGGTCTGTGTTAGCTTCTCTTGTGAGCCCTCTGTTGTCCACACTAGCTCCCCTGCCTAGTTCAGAAGGCTGTGACCGTTTGCATTCACCACCTTGCCACTCCTCCAAATCTCCCTGTCTATGCTGCAGTCATGACAGGCAATGGCCTATTTGTGTCACCTTTCCTTTTGTGCACATATACTTCTCAACATTCTGATTTTGGATCAGCCAACTTTCTTTTTTTTAAAATTTCTTTTTGGTTGAAATAACTTCAACTTACTTTCTGCCAGCCTAGTTATGCGGTATAATAAATCACATTTTTTAATGTAAGAAATATTTTTTTAAAATTTGATAACAGAATTTTTCAGAGATTCTATTCCTTTGATGGCCAGAAGCCCCATTCTAATTAACTATAATTTATGCAGCCTGGGTTCTTGCTAACCGCTCGGATAACTTGCACCTCACAAAAGGATTTTGCCCATTTGTATCCGTTTGCACTCTCCTTCCCGTGATGAGCCGTCCACAGAGCTTTCCTGAACATTTCTCAGGGCTTATATGTCATGACTTGACTTCTTCACACTTCTATGACCACTTCTCCCTCTTGTGCAGGATTTGACATTTCCTCCTTTATTCAGCTCTCAGGACAGGAAATTACTTAGGGCTCCACTTCTTCAATCTCTCCTCCTTCTCTGCCAATTTTTTAAACATTACCCAATTGCAGTGATTCCCACACGTACATTCTAGCCAAGGCCTCTATTTTGAAATACAGATTTCTATTCCCCACTGATAATTCAATATCTTCACTGGAAAATAGATTTATACCAAGCATGTCTAAAAATAAATGCTTGGTTTTGCCCCAAATTCTAGGAACAGAAGCTAGCAGACTTTGAGTGCCTCATTTCAGCCCCTGTCTCTAAGGCATCAGTGGTATCTACTTCTCTTAATTTTTTCTTGCATAACCCATCCTTCTTTTACCCACATCCCCAGACTCATCCAGAGACACTCTCTCCTTTGCTCACTAAATTACAGAAACACTGCTCTTTTCCCAGGACTTTGAAACATACGATATTCTGTCTCTTCTCAAAGATGTCACTCTTTTTTGCTTCCATCTGTGATGTGTTTCCTCGTACAATCTTTGGACTAAACTCTATTCATCCCTTAGCAAACATGTTAAATCTTACTTCACCCAAGTCTCTGCTCAAATATCAAGTCCTTACAGTCACTTCCACCACTTTCTCTAAATGGCATCTCCTGATGCGTTTGTTTTGCTCCCCCCCCCCCCCCCCAATCTTTATTGGATCCTTCATCACAGTACGATATATTTAAATTGCTTCAGGGATTGGAAAAGAAGGCAAAAGGGCTGGGGTTGTGGCTCAGTAGTAGAGCACTTGCCTAGCATGAGTGAGGCACTGGGTTTGATCCTCAGCACCACTTAAAAATAAATGAATAAATAAATAAATAAAGGTCCATCTACAAGTAAAAAATATTTTTAAAAAAGAAGGAAAGAAGGGAAAAAATGCTCTTTATAATCTCATAGATAAAATGGTTCCATCTGTCATAATTTTTTCTTGAATTCACTCACTCTTCCCACTGTTGTGATCCCAGTTCAGGTCAAGTGACTAGTTTCTTACTAGTTTCTAGGGTTTCTTCACTAGAACCTTTCCTGTTCACTTTGGGTTGACTTATATTCCAAAACATGGATCTGATCAAGACTCAATAGTTACGTAGCATGAAATCAAGACCTATTCCAGGTCTAATACAACCAACTGTTCAAACGACTTCCTTCCACTTGGGCCTTGCTATTCATACCCTTCACATAATCTGCTACAACACTTATACCTCTATTCTTTAAAACACTTGTTTGTTTACTTCCACATTCATGAATATTGCTCATAATATTTTCTGGGCTATGGATATTTGATGGATGTATCAAATACTTCTACATGTGTCCGATGATATACTCTAATTAGATTAAATTAAATGGCATATTCTAGCAGTATTTGGTTAGACTAAATGGTATACTCTAATGCTCAATTCAACAGGGACACTTTAGAGAGTGGAAGAAACCTCCTTAGGGAAGATCAGTGGCTTCCATATTGAGATGTGAAGGCTGACAGGAGACGGACAACTGAAAGATGTGAAAATGGGGCAAAAGGAAGATCAATCATTGTAAATCGATATCAATATCAATATGTCAATCAATATGCATCTGCATATTATATCTTATTTGATTAATATTTGTTCATTTAATATCACTTCCATTTTTTTCAAACATTGATCCAAAAACTTCTGGTGGATGGGCTTTAGTTGAAAATCAGTTCAAAACCAGTTTGGAATATTTTTCAGAGCAGTTTTCGATATTTACTCTTAGACAGAAATGGGTTCGCCAGAGGCATTTCATATCCCTTCATCTTTCCATAATTGTATTTCAAAGCCTCCCACTCATTTGAGTTGCTATTTGCACATTGGGATGCCAATGCTAACTTCTCCTTTCATCTCAATTTCATTTAAAAATGAACATTTAAGCTGGGCATGGTGTTGCACTCCTATAATACCAGCAGCTCAGGAAGTGAGGGCAGGAGGATCACAAGTTCAAAGTCAAGTCTCAGCAACTTAGGGAGGTCCTAAGCAACTTAATGAGACTGTCTCAGAAAAAAAAAATGTGGGTTGGAGATGTGGTTCAGTGGCTAAGTACCTCTGGGTTCAATCCTAGCACCAAAAAAAAAAAAAAAAGCATTTAATGTCTAAAATTGAGGGGTAAAATAATTAATAATAGACAATACATCAATACATAGTAGTAACTTGATATACTCATGTGTTCATGTTTATTGTGAACAGTTTGGCACTACTCATGTTTCTTCTTATGCTTACATTGCTATATAGGGCTAAACTTTGTTTCTACTTATCATATGTTCTTATCTAAATATGTGTTACCTCTGAATTTAGAACTACTACATCAAAACAAATTATGCAGGACTTGTAGAGAAACTTAGGAAATTATATCAAGATGCGAAGAGTGCAGAAAATGTAAATTAGTCTATATATATGTGAGCCAACAACCTCAGCCCCATGAAATGACTTTTAAAGAAAACATGATTGCAATTACTATTAATAAAAATAAAATTTTAATGTAGAAAGAGAAGTTCTACAGAAGAAGAAAAGTATGAAATTATTGATTTCTTAGATCCTAAAAAAAAAATTTGTTTAAGTAATGGGGTTTCTGCTGGGTGTTTTGAAAACATGGGAAGAGAGAATCTCTTTAGGATGTGAAAATGAATCTTGGCACTTATTACCTTTGGGCTTTACGGTCAGGTGGACAGACACCTTTCTCACCCCCAGTGGACTGACTGCTTGGCATTCATATTGACCTTCATCGTGTTGTGCTACACGGTCAATTCTCAGAGTGCCAGAGGAAAGAACTGTATGTCGGCCTTCCACAGGGAGCCGTCTTCCTGCAAAGAGGAAAAGCAAGTACTCTGTATTGCATTTGTATGACTCAAGGAGCCAAAGGCCAGAACTGCATGACTGTCCTAATAAAGGCTGAGATCCTTCTTTCAGGAAATCCTTGGGGTGTGAACTAGGATGGCTCCTTTCTGTATCACATTCCCCAAAATATGGCATGAGCCTTGTCCTGACCTCCCCCAACCTCAGCCACCGTTGAAGCCAGAATTAGGCAGTCAGTATAAATAGGTAAATTGAGTCAGGTCAGATCAAGGAGGCCAATTTTGAGTGAGTCCAGCAAGTTGGAGACTGTCCCCAGAAGGATTCAAATGTTAATTCCTTCAGAGGCCCTTCCTCCACCCTTATCAAGAACCTACCCAGGCTCCAACCTGTTGCCAAGGTAACCAGTCCCAGGAATTGCCCCTCCCTCCTACAGGGAGTTATTAAAGTTGTTAATTAATGTGTCCTTGGCTGCTCCATCCTGCCCTTCCCCCTTCAGCCCACCTGTTTCCCACCTTTTGGCCATCCCACTGAGCACTCCTGGGCCTAGTCACATACACTGTAGGGAGAAAGATGAGGGGAAGAGGCAGGAGAACAAAGGAAGCCTAAGACATATAAATAGGGTAGAACACCTTGCCTCTGGGGATACCAGGATACCAGATATGGCCCCCTTCTCCATCCTGGGAGAAGTCTATGTTACCCCTTTTTAAATAAACCCTGCTTTTATGCTTGCCTCAGCTGCTTCTCTAATGTTCAAACTTCAACATGTGGAGGAGGAGAACTCGTCACCGATAACCCGCAGGCAGTATCACTGTACTGCAAGGATTTATCATCTCCCACCAGGAAAATAGCTTGGCCTCTTTATGAATCCCCTCACCTACCTGCTTGCCTCCTCAATTTTAACCACAATTAGAATGGAAATTTCAGAACCAGTCTGAATACTAATACAATTTTCAAATACCTCTCTAACATTGGTTCATCAAATGTATACAATATTGAGAATATAAAAGGATTATGGGAAAAGAATATTTAAAGTGCTTAGGCAGCATACCAAATGTGGTATTTTTGTGACACTCCTGCTGATAACCCTCAGAGCCACACACCAAGCCACCACTGTACTTCTTACCTTTGAGCTTACACTGAGCTTCTGGATCCTTCTCAACACTTTATTCCTCATGGTCACTAGCAATTAAATAGGGTTGTCATTCTCAACTATTTCAGTAAAAACTTATAGCTTACTAAGGTCTTATTACAGTTAGAAAAAGCAATAGCTAACTTTATTGAGTGTGCACACAGGTTGGCAGCTACTTGTTCCAAATATCTAAAATTTTAAGCAATTCTTACAACCGTCTGATGATGTAGTACATTTCATCACCCCCAGCACATAGTTGAGAGTACGCTAATAAACAATGGTTAATTTACTTGCTAAATTCATGCAACTAGTAAATGAGGGAGTAGAGATGAATCTAGGCTTTAGGGCTCCAAAGTCCACCTTGTAAGCACTGTTGTCTACTTCTCCAAGTCCCAGAGCAAGAACAGAGCAGAAATTTTAATCCAAAAATTTCAAAATGCATAGACATATTTTGAATTTAACCTAGCACTTTAACTAATGTAGAAGCTAAGATTTCCAAGCCCAGAGAGTCTTGGTCAATCTCTCATCCAGCCCACTGTGCATCTTGTTGTACAATGTTTTCAGGTTCCCGAAGAGTACCTGGTCCCTCTGGATGGGAGGCTGAACCCTGCCTGCCAGGCCCTGTACCCAGGCTACTCACACTTCAAGAACAGCAGCTCTATTCTGAAAGTTTTATTTAAGTTTAATAAGTTGGAGCTCCATTTAGCATTTTGTTTCATTTCTGATTTCATTTTGTACTAAAAGAATTTTTGGATTCAAGTTGAAGATTAATTCAAAAGAAATCTCTAACATTTTGCAGGCTAGCTTTTGGTATTTAAAAAAAAAAAAAACACTAAACTTTCCAATAATTTTATTTTTAAAGTCTAGAATCTATGTCCCAGAGTAAAAGTATGATTTCAGGAAGGCCATACATTCAAATACCAAAACTTAAAACATCAGAAAATTTAAGATGGTGTTGTACTTAAAGTGTGCTGTTTAGATGTCCACAATGTACTTGTGATAAACTATTTTTTGTACTTTCCAGAAAGAGAAGGTACTCATTTCTTCCCACAATCATTTATGGAAGTGCTAATACCTGCTTTGGTCCAGAGGATAACTGGTGGTGGGCGGCCTTCAGCTTCACAAAGAAGTTCTACAGCATGCTCCTCCAACACCACCTGGTCCGTGGGGCTTCTTATAAATTGTGGTGGAGCTGAAGACAAAAGAGGCCACTAAAATCACAAATCATTTTGGAACATTTTAATAACAACTCGAGAAGAAAGAAAATATGTTTAAAAGTTGAAATATGTTTTGTAATTAGAATTAGTTTTGAGATAGCAACTTGATAGAGAAAAAGAGAGACTGAGTTTCAAAAGAGATGTCCCCAGGAGCCCAACACCTGGAAAACAGTAAACACCCAAGAACCTTTAAAATGCAAAATAAGCATTCTTCAGCAACCCAGACCTTTTCCTTTGCCTTATAAATTGGTTTATGTGCTTTCCTGCAAAAGAAACAATGTACAAAAGTGCAAGCAAAGAGAAAACTGTGCAAAATTGTGTTACATTCTGTCCTGACTCTAGTTCAGCCCCTACCAACTGTCCTTTTATAAATATAAATGCCACACACCAATGGGTGGGTCTTTCTTCCTCTGGAGATAGCCTTCATTCTCCCTTGAAGCATATTCTTTGCTTTAGCCCCAAAACTCACTCTCCAGATGGCCAGCATTCTCCCGTAATGTGTTTCTTACTCTGCCCCAAGTGATGTCTCTCCTGTGAGATATCGAACTCTTAAAAATGTATCTGCTTTCTTAATAAAACTGTCTGTGTCTCAGCTGACTGGTGCATGCTGAAATTTATTTCTGTCACAAATTCCAAGGATCCCACATATCCTGAGTCGAGGACCCCCTTCTCTGGGAACTCCTTTCATGACATTCCCAATGATTTATCAGCAAGGATATTGAAAACATAGAAGTGTTTGCATATGTTTGTGCCTGCTTGCAAGGAAACCAAAAAAAAAAAAAAAAAAAAACCAGAAATAACCAATATGGACTGAAGCCAGAATGAGACAGGCAGTCAGTACAGATAGGTAAATCAAGTCAGGTCAGCTCAAGGAGGTCAATTTTGAGTGAGTCAAGCAAGTTGGAGACTGTCCCCTGAAGGATTCAAATGTTAATTCCTTCAGAGCCTTCCTCCACCCTTATCAAGAACCTCTCCCTGCTCCCACCTGTTGCCAAGGTAACCAGTCCCAGGAATTGCCCTCCCTCCTACAGGGAGTTATTAAAGTTGTTAATTAATGTGTCCTTGGCTGCTCCTTCCTGCCCTTCCCCCTTCAGCCCACCTGTTTCCCACCATTTGGCCATCCCACTGAGCACTCCTGGGCCTAGTCACATACACTGTAGGGAGAAAGGGGAAGAGGGCAGGAGAATAAAGGAAGCCTAGGACATATAAATAGGGCAGAACACCTTGCTTCTTGAATACCAGGATACCAGCTATGGCCCTCTTCTCCCTCCTGGGGTAAGTCTGTTACCCCTTTTTAAATAAACCCTGCTTTTATGCTTGCCTCAGCTGCTTCTCTAATGTTCCAACTTCAACATGTGAGGGAGCAGAACTGTCACCGATAACCAGCGGTATCAGGACCATTTCTTACTCTTATGGAAGCTGCTTCATATCACTAGATCGTCCTGCTTACCTTTTACTAGCTGAAATAGACATATTTAAAGCTACAGTTCATATTTGAATTATTAACAAAATGGTTCTCTCCAAATGTTCACGTACAGAATAAAATTCAAATCAAATTGCTCTATTTATTTCAGAAGAAAAAATATGTTCTATGGAGAGATGCTCCTGCAAACACATAAAATCATGCTTTTGAAAAAGTGCCATTTACGTCAAAATTTATAGTCCCAAATATTCAAAATGTTTACAGTTGCTTTTATATAAATAATGAATAGCTAATAGCTGCATACACCATTTGTAGAAAGGGATTCTGTTCACAATACTTTACTATGAAAAAGAAATCAATGTGGCCATTTAAGAAAGACCCATAACCCTCAATAATATCTGAGTGGTGACAATTTCAAAAACTCTTTCCCAGATGACAGGCATAATCCCAGTACCCCTTGTTCCTGCCTGCCATCAGCGAATACAACAAACACGATGAAGTAAATACCATTTGACAAAGCATATTTGTTGCAAGTTTCATACTATGTGCAGATAATAAAGATTTTTTTAAAGGTCCTCATAAATTCTAATTAAGGTGCTAGACTGAATACCATATTATAAGATTAATTACACATAAGCATGAAGACCCTCAGGAATGCCTGAAAGCTATTTGTAATTGACTTCTAGAAAACAGCCTACAGACAAGCAGTGTCAAGCTCCTCAGTCCACAGATGAAGAAATTCAGACTAGAGGAGTTTGAATTGAATTTCTCTCAGTCAGAACCAGTAAGTGGCAGAGACTGTGAGAATCTAGGTCACTCAACCCCCAGACTGATGTTCTTTCCAGAACATTACACTAACTCCTGAAATTACCAGGAATGGCTTAAAAAGAACAAAAATATTTCTACATTAAAACTTGAATTCATGACACAGTAAAAGAAGTATGTAATAAAAGTAGGTCGTAGTTAAGACAAAAAAAAATTTAAATATATACCCAGTGTTCTAAGTTGGGAAATTTGATTTCAGTTGTTTAGTAATAATTAAAATTTAGTTAGCCAGGTCTGGGCAAAAAATATTGTATTACTTCATGTGCTCTTATAGTGGGACAGACAAGGCTGGACCCGGAGGAATAGAAGGAAGCATGTTTATAAAGGCTGCGTGCAGCCAGGTTCAAAAAGGGGGTTTTTCCACCTCCATCAAATCACGCCTCTTAACCCTGAGTTTAGAAAGTTTCAAAACTTTATACCCAACGTGTAGGGGCGGGGCTCAGAGGCTCACAATCTGCAGCAGCCCACACAAAAGCAGTTTTTTCCAGAACAGTGGAATACAGACGTGGATATACAATCAAGGACACTCTCTGCAAGAATCAGCACCCAGGACCTGGAGAGTTCTCCTTCCCTTCCTCCAGCCTGCTGGCTCCAAAGGACCTGACTATTGTCTATTGAAATACAAAGGCCTCTGTGGAGGCCTTGGATTGGTCTTTCTTATCACATCCTGCCTCTGTAGTACACCTCCAGCCTGAAAACTCTGCTGCAGAAATTCTTGTTGATAGTCTAAGAACAGTTATTTTGGGAGTGGGGGGTCTCTGGAGAAGCTTAATTAAGATTTTCCATGGGGGCAGGGTGGTGCCACTACACCATCATTAAAATTGCAATAATAATAAACTCAGGCATGATGGTGCATACCTGTGGTCCCAGCAAATCAGGAGGCTGAAGCTGGAGGATCACAAGTTCAAGACCAGCCTCAACAACTTATCAAGACCCTGTCTCAAAGTACAAATAAAAAGGGCTGGGCATGTATCTCAGTACCTTGGGGTTCAATCCCAGGTACCAAAAATAAATGAATAAAAATAAAAATAAGTCCCAAGATTCTGCATGCTAGCAAACAACAGGCAAAATTTAAGTAAACAAGCAATTTACATTTGTCCCTTATACTAAATGACCAACTGCCTAGATCAAAGAAGAAATTTCAATCTGGTGGGGAAGACAATCAAAAAACCCTGAACATTATTACAAAGGTAGTCAGTGAAGCCTGGAGGAATTAAGGTTGACCTTTTTGAGCTTTTATTTAAAACTATTGCCCAATGAATCCCACTGCCCATGCTAAACCAGCACACGTGGTGATGGAGGACCTTTCTATTTTTATTACAACCCCTGCCCCACGTTGCAGGTTACTCATGACCATAATGCCACATGAAAAACATTTCTGTTTACACTGTTAAGGACATAGATCTTTTCACCTAAGCCTCCATGTTGTGATTCATGCCTTTTAAATGAAGCTTTCTAGATTTTTTTTTTTTTAAGTTTATTTGTCATTCGTTCCAGCCATTTGAGGGAAGGAGGTGTTTACCGATGGGTAACTATGATATCTGTGATTCAGCATAACTGAACATTAAAAGAACTAGAGAAAACTGATAGAATACCCATTAAAATAACCCCAAAAGGGTAACATCTAAAATATTTATGCTCTAGGCAAATAAAGAAGCCTCTTTCATAAATGTATAAATGATTAATGGACCATTTTAAGACTAATTGAAAATCTTGACACACAGACCCACAAGTGGCACAAGAACACAGTTGCAAGTGACAAAGGACAAGGAGATGGCAATCTCAGTGCAAACTGACCAGTAAGAAGAAATGATTAGCGTTTTGTGGTATCCAAAAAGAGCAGGACTGTAAATGTTGTCAGAGTTTAGCTAAATATCAATTGATGCAGATGATCAAACAGAAAGAATAGGAACCACTTGCAAGAAGCTGGGAAGCAGAGACTAACATAGTGTGAAATAAAAGAGACTATGTATAAATGCAAATGTTTGACTAGACACTGGGTTTCTAAAAAACTAAGACTTAAAACATAAAATCACGGATCCAAAACAGAAACCACACACTATTTCTTTTAAAGCATTTTTCAATCCCAATGCATTGAAACAAATATAAAAATAATGTTTGGGTCCTTTAAAAGTAATTCCCCCTACCCACCTCACCTGAAGTTGCCAAAGACTACAAGGAGAAAAATTTCATTTCTATAATTTATTTCTAGAACAAGAAAGGTGTTTTCATAATATTAGCATTTCTAGAGGACAACACAATTTTTTCTTTAGACATGTCAATGGAAACAAGAAATGATTGATCTATTTCTAACTGAAGGAGTTGATTCAATTCAGAAAACTTTCACTGAATGTAGGAAACCCAGGCTGGGTGAAGTTCTGCACCTTTAGAAGAAAATACTAGTCTCAATGCAGCCAGGATTCACCATCCTGAAGTTCCCTCAACTCTAGAACTGTACTAGAACTGCACTAGACAGTCCATATTTTAGACTGTCTTTGCTCTGCGTTTTTTCAGATCAGAGGTTTTGATAGGTAACATCTTATGCAAATCTGAAATTAATGAAACCGCCTAACTCAATTAAAATATGCATACTCCCTGAGATCCTTAAAATGGATCGTTGTAAATTTTTAGACTCTTATGATATAATAGAAAACTGTTTTGGATAGGACAGAATAGGACTTGTGGCATCTCTTTAAAAACATGAATTCCACTGTTTATGAAACCTCTAAACCAACAGGAGGATTGCACATGTGCAAACACACACACACACAACCACAACAACGAAAATGGAAAGGAAGGGGCAGCTCCAGGTTAAGAACAGAAAAACAACCAAAAAGCATTTCTTTTTTACAACATAATCACCCACACGTAGCTTATTCTCGGGGTTCAGAATGGCACTGTCACTGCGGTTGCTACCTGCTAAAGCCCTGAGCATATTCTCAGGCTATGTTGAGTAGACAGCTTGGTAAATGACTGTGAACCTGGGGCATAGCCTTTCACTTTCGTAGCTGGAGTGTCTTCCCTTTATCTGTAAAATATTCTGAAACACAAATATTTTTTGACAGTTTGCTGCCAGATTAATGACTTCATCTCTTTTATTACTAATGCCTGATTCTGGCATTTGGATAAAGACTTAAGTTGAAAAAATGCCCAACTTTTAACATGAAGCAGATTAGTTTTGAAGATTCTATTATGTCAAGAAAATAAAAGGCAAATAAAAAAATCTCTCTCTGCTGACATACATGATATTACTTTTCAAGTTGAAAAACAATTTTCCATATGTGACAGAAGGACCATTTCAAGCAGGACCTCCTGCTCCCATACCTTGTACAATGACGTTGGCTGTGGCGTGAACAGAGCCTTGACTATTGTTGGCGTGACAGGTGAATCCGCCATGATCCCTCAGGGTGATGCTCTGCAAGTGGAGTCCACTGGAGGTTTCTATGTGCCTGGATCCATCCAGTGCCTCTCCATTGTCCCTGGTCCAAGTTATATGGGGGTGTGGGTGGCCTGTGGCCATGCATTCCAAAGTTGTGCTGGTGCCAATTAAAACCTCCGTGTCCTGGGGCTGGATTACAAAGCTAGGCTTGGCTAAGGGTAAGAGGAAGACAAAACAAAATATAAGTAGTAACAATTAGGAAGGTTTATTTATTTATTATCTATTTTGCATTGTGGTTTAAAACTACCATTGAAGCCAGAATCAGACAGGCAGTCACTATAGATAGGTAAATAGAGTCAAGTCGGATCAAGGAGGCCAATTTGCCTTGCTCCTTCGGATACCAGGATACCAGCTATGGCCCCTTTCTTCCTCCTAGGGAGAAGTCTGTTACCCCCCCCCCCCTCTTTTTTTTGGATAAATACATTTTATTATTTATTTGTTTGTTTATTTGTTTATTTATTTTTGCATTACAATTCTCAATACACCTTTATACCACAATTTATCATGTCTCTGGTTGTATATAAGGTATGCTGACACCAAATTCACATCTTCATACATGTATTTTGTATAATGATGAGGGTCATGAAAAAATTCTCATCATCTCCAGCAATCAGAGAAATGCAAATTAAAACTACGCTAAGATACCATCTCACTCCAGTAAGAGTGACAGCCATTACAAAGACAAACAACAAGTGCTGGCAAGGATGCAGGGGAAAAAGGTACACTCCTACACTGCTGGTGGGACTGCAAATTGGTGCAGCCAATTTGGAAAGCAGTATGTTATCCCTTTCTAAATAAACTGTGCTCTATATGTTTGCCTGAGCGTGCTTCTCTAATGTTATACTTCAACATGTGAGGAGTAGAACTCATCACTGATAACTGGCGGTATCACTATTGCCTTCAAAATGCCCTTACTCACAGTTATCAAAGAATTAAATCTAAAATAAATTAAATGTTGATTTTACATAAATACATATTTTTTAAAACAACCTCTTGTATTGTAGATGCTGCAATGTGCTCACTGAATACCTATTCTTTAGGGGCTAAATGTCCAAGTGTTCCAATTTAAAAACACTCACATGCTTTTAAATACAGTTCTCCCAGCAAGATCCAGGTACTTGTCACTGGAAAGAGAGTTTCCTTCCCAAATAAAAGGGCTAAGACTAGGTAGTCATCGCTCTACCTCCTGTTACCTGGAATTCAGGCATGAGTTTGGATTATGGGAAGTTGCCATGCAACTAAGAAGTGGCAATTATAAGGGAGGAGGAAAAGAGGTCTATGTACAAAGGATTGAACAGTAGAAAAAAATATCATTGGTTTGCTAGGGTACTGGGGCCCTCTGTACAGATTACCTCTACACTACTCGTGGCAAACAATGCACCTACACACACACACACACACACACACATACACACTCACAGGGTATGTTTAAGCCATGTCAAGTTTTGGTTTACTTTCAAGCTAAGTGTATTTCAAATAGATTTATAAAAAAAAAAAAAACATAGAATCTAGACTTCCATATACGTATTCCACTCTTACTAATGCTTAAAAATTACATCTTTTATGGGAATCTCAAGCATAAAATAAAGACTAAGTTATTAAAAACGCCTAATGATAAAGTTTCGGATTGAGGGGCTCATCGACTTCTGAGATAAACATACCCTGGAGAATAGGAATAAGCTGAATTAATCTAATTTAATAACCAAGATTTAATTCAATTTTGGTAATCTGAATGTCTTAAATATATCAGTAAAATTTTAGGTGTTAGTAAAATATAAAGATGCACAAGATACCTTCCTTTTCTTGTATGTTATAGTCAGAGGACAGAGGAAAAAATAAATCAACTACAGTATAGTAATGATATTATTTTATCAAAGTTGGGTGCAAAGTGCCATAGAACATGCTGACGGTGGAGAAGCACTGTCTAGGGAAAACTATTGTCATCATTCCAATAGGAAGAACCAGGGACTGAAATGGAACCAGTGATACTCCATGCACATAGGATCATGTCAAAATAAACCCTACTTTTATGTATAACCCTGATGAACTAATAAAAATATTTTAAAAGAGAAATATTTTTTAAGCAAGTCTATGATAGTGGACATGGGAAGGAAGCTCTGATCTGACCCCTATTCAAAGTATACTTTAAGACACCTAAAAAAAAAAAAGACAGCAACAGAGGATGGCTCTGAGGTTGTTGAAGGACATTAAATATCCTGAGAGAGAGCGCAAACAGAAAGGAAGAGGTTTATGCAGGCAAATCTGCTTGTGGGATGTAAAGATTACATGTGAAGGTGAGCAGGAATGATAGTGTTTCAAATCTCAGGAAAAATAGCAACAATAGATTTATAAGTTTTAATTATTAAAGTTGAACGCTGAAGAATTCTTTTAAAATTGAAAGAGATCTCAAATGGAGGAAGAAGCAATGTGACCAGGCCAAACTTGAGGAAGAGAGGGAAGGGGAGGGCTATGGGGAACATGACATTTAAAGAGAAAGAAGAATGAAAATGTCAGGAAAGGATCAAGAGGAAGTGATGTCCCCAAAGTCAAAGAAGGAAAGAGATGGTGGTTTTGAATGAGCTACCACAGCTGTCAATTAGAAGTTATTTAGAAACCATGAAAGGAATCCCCATAGTTGATCAATTTCCAACTCAACTGTGTTTCCACCACCACCACCCCACCCCCCGCCCCAGGCACATTCAGTGAATTTTCTCCATTTGCTCTGATCTGTGTCTCTACCAACAATGTCCTGCTTCGTGGCTGCAGCCAACCCACTTTCTCATTATACCACATCATCCTGTTTTTTCTCCAGACTGCTACCAGAAATATTTTACTAGAAGAAAAATCTAATTTTGACCACTCTTACTATACAGTCGTGATCAACCTGAATGATCTGACCTGCCTTACACCTCCCCAAATCAGTGATTTTGGCTCGACTCCAGAAGTATCAAGGATTTCCATCTCTTGGATGCATCCTGCTCTGTCTCCCCTTACATCATACTTTCTTCCGAAATAATGTTTCAACTCTACTTATCTAACTTTCTTTTACTTGTCCTCGCTGTCTACTTAGATGTCCTTGCTGCTGGGGACATCTCAAATGAACGTGACTCGCCAAGCCTGCTCCAAGGGACCCCCTCTCTCCCTTCATCCTGTTTGTTCCTGTTTGCTGTCTCTTGATATTATCAATAACCCCCAGTGATCTCAAATTCTTCATATACTGCTCCTTTTCCTGACTAAAATCTCAGGGGGTATACCAGAGCTGGCTCTTGAGAAGCAGCTGTTAAATTTTGAATATTCTGCAAGCTGGTTGTTAAGCCTAGCCCTTTATTAAAAGTTAAATTATGTAAACATACGATTGAATAAGTGTCATTAACATCGAAGTTCACAAATTCTGGCATTCATTATTTCTACTTATTTGACTCTATTTTCCTATTTTCTGTGGTTCTAAGGTGGTTTATGTCTATGAATGTCTCTGTGGTGGAAACATTGCTTCATGGTGCCTACTGCACATTTCCTCCCAACTCCACCTTCAGTCATGCCATGTTGGTAACAAGAAATTGGCCATGGAAGGATTATTTATACCTTAGGTATTAGTCAATGCTGCAAATCAGAAAGCCCCTCCCCAGTGCTGGGTTTTAAATGTTTACTGGTAGAGAACTGTCCTTTATGCTTCCATCCCTCTCCTGACACATCGTAAAACTTGGTTGAATTATGGCTATTGCCTAATAGACTACAGGCTCAGAAAGGGGAAAGATGATGCATTTCTACCATCACAAAATGATACTAATAAAAATCTGTCTTAGTCACTGTGTCTGATTTATATACGCCATTGAAATTATGGCAGAGCAAAGCTTCTGGGTAGTTGAAGGGGTGTGAAATCTTCAACAATAGCTCAGTGGGCATTCAATAAACATTTGTAATGAATTCGTGATGGATAAAGGACAAAGAGTTTCTAAAGAGGATGATTTTCCTGCCTGGGAGCAATTGGTTCAATCTGCCTCAAGATGTTGGAAAGCTAGATCGGTAATTGAAAGGCTAATTGGAAAATCTTGGAATCACATCTGTGATACACTGGAAAATAACAGAACTAAGGAAGTAACTTTAAAAAAAAAAAAAAAAAAAAAAACTTTGAGGGCTACAAGTACAGATCAGTGGTAGAGTACATACCTGGAATGCACAAAGCCCTAGGTTCAATCACCAGCACCATCAAAAATAATAGTAATAGGGGATGGGATTGTGGCTCAGAGGGAGAGCATTCTCATTGCATTCATGAAGCACTGGGTTTGATCCTCAGCACCACATAAAAAAATGAAATAAAGATATTGTGTCCATCTATAACTAAAAAATATTTAAAATAATAATAATAATTGATTATATAATTAAAAGTAAATAAATAAAATAGAGCAAACTTCAAGGAAAAAATTTCTCTAAAAAATGTACAAAAAAAATCAGTGACAATTGTTTCACTTTGAAGCATTACCTACTTTAAAGAAGTAATCTAAGGTCATTTTTCAGTGCAAATAACTTTAGATACCTAATGCATTTGTATGAAGTTCAATCAGAAAATCAATTTTACCCGGAAGACTGTGGTATCTGAGCATGGCATTCTGTGTCTTGGCTTCCCCAGCAGAGTTCCTGGCCATACACTGATAGATGCCTTGGTCTGACTCTCTGGTGTTCCGGATCATGAGTGTCCCATCATCAAACATGTTAAGACGGGTGTCATCCTCAAGATCCAGTGAATTGCTGGAAATATATTATATATATTTATTACTTAATTCCATTCATATTTAACTCTATCAAACTTCTAATAAGATGGAATATAGAACATGTTTCATGAATTCTGATTAGCTGATTTATTTTTACAACTTTGATAATTCAAATAATTTTATTTTAAATTCCGTTTTCTCCTTTTCATCTTGAAATAATACACTGACTACAGACTGTGAGTTAATCCATAATAGAAGGAAAGAAAATTTAAATGCCCTTCCTTCCTGAGCAGGGTAAATTTAGACACTGCTACAATCTCTCCTGTATGAAGATTACTTCAGCACAGTTTAACACCCCTGAATTACTATTTAAAAAAAAGAAGAAGAAGAAGAAGAAGAAGAAGGATCATCATCAGATGGTGATATGTAAGCTTTTACATCTTCCCAGTGAGTCATCGGCTCTCCTTCCATATTTTGTAAATTGTAAAAGAAATGTCTGTATTCAAATCAACATGGCTCAAAGCCCAGTATAATTATATGACTAAGCATTAACTAAGCACATGGTACTTACAAGTTCTTAGTTATTAGGCCTTATGAATTAAAAGGGATCATTTTTTATATACTAGGAAAATGCCTATTATTTATTTATCAATTAAATGGATAATCCATTGAGTACAAGTAGGTTCAGACATGTAACATCATATTGCACTAATAATCAAAGCAAGGGAATGATTTGGGGTTTTTAAAAAAAAATTTTAAAAACAGCTTTATTGAGATATAATTCACATTCTATACGATTCATATGCCATTTAAAATTTACAGTTCAGTGAATTTTAGTATCTTAAGAAAGTTGTGCAACCATATACCACAATTTCAGAGCATTTTCATCACCCTGAAAGGAAATTTTGTACCCCTTGGGCATTTTCTCATAATTTGCCTCTCCCTTCAACACTAGACAACCACTAATCTACATTTTGTCTGTCTGGATATTTCATGTGAATATAATCATACAATTTGTGGTCCTTTGTTTTTGACTTCTTTTACTTTGCATGATGTTTTCTTTTTTTTATTTTATTGACTTAAAAAAATGACAGCAGAATTCATTACAATTCTTATTACACATATATAGCACAATTTTTCATATCTCTGGTTGTATATAAAGTATGTTGACACCAATTTGTGTCTTCATACATGTACTTTGGATAATGATGTCTATCACATTCCACCATCCTTGCCAACTCCCTGCCCCCTCCAAGGAGGCTGATTCATAGTGGGGTGGGAGGGGGAGCATGGGAGGAATAGAAGAACTCTAGATAGGGCAGAGGAGTGGGAGGAAAAGGGAGGGGGCAGGGGGCTAGCAAGTATTTGGGGATTTTTTTAATCAATAAATGAAAAGATACTGACACCTAAACATGTCAGAAATTTTTACAGAATATCCTTTCTGATCAAGTTTATTTTTTCTTTAAAAATATTTAATGATTATGTATGAGAAAGTATATGCAAGTATACTCAGTACTAACAATGTATTAGTTGTAAAAAAAAGGAAGAAAGAAAAAATAAGATCTACCACCTCCATCATTTATCACTCAATAAGCATTTATTAAGCATCTACGGTATAGAAACACCCTTCCTGAAGGAAAATATTCATTTGAAGAATTTCTATTGCTCTCCCTTTAATTTGTTAGCTTTACAAAACCAGTGAGGGCCAGGTAAATATTTGTTCACTAATTTTAAACTGTGCCAACACTCAAGGAATTCTGGCATATGCAAAAAGAATAAAGCACGTTAAAAAGACTAAGAAATAATCCTTATTCAATAATTTTTGTCATAAAGATAAGAAAGAAGCAGACAATGACCATATTTCACATTTATTATTTAGGTTGTAACGGAAGAGAGATGACAGGCAATGTGTTCAAGTATCCAGTGAGAAAAGCCCAATGTGAAAAAAAAAAAAAGTCAGTGAGAACTTTTTTCAAGAGCTTTGGGGAAAACGATGCTTTTGAATGACTTTGCAATGTAAGGCACAAGCAAAGAAAGTAGATCCTGGTACTGGATTTCCTTATAACTATAAGCTGCCAAAGCTTCTCGATATTGATAATGTGGTATAAACATCAGGAAGTACATTTTTTTTAAATGTGAAAACTCCAAAGGATCACATATCATTAAACTTAATTATTTTGAATGTAATTCTAAGATTATCTAACATTGAATCAAATTAAGACTGTTTGAAAGGAGTATGCCAAGAATGGATGAAATTGCATTTCTCAAAAGATATCTAGTTTTCTGAAATTTTTTTATAAACCTCTGTACCACGAAATATCAAAGACTACAGGATGTGTTCATGATATCTAGAGTATGTCTAGGCAATGAATTCACCAAGATTCATTATGATAAAAAATGATATAAAATGGGCAGCAGCACATCACATCCATAAATTTAAGATGCATCATTTCTTTTCCTGGTTATTTCCGTATTTGTTCATGTCGTCTTCATTATACTCATAAAACTTGTTTGCTCTTAAATCATGATGTTGCTTGAAAAAAATCAAAATAAGCCTTCATGGTTCAATATATTCCTTTCACTTTGTCAGTTTTATGCAAGCTGTATATAGCAACTGTATGTAAAACAAAATACAATGATGCAAAAACCCACAAAGGTGTATATAAGTAAAATATACTTAGATTTTTTTCCTTAAAAATGTGTAAATAAACACATTTGACTTAAATATGAAGTAGCAATAACTTTTGTTAAAGTTAATTCTTAGCTGCAATGAATTACCTCTAATAATTAACCCTAACCTTTATTAAAGTAGTTCATTTATTAAGTGCTTTCTAAGAAACATGTGTAACTAGTTCCATGTGCCAGAAATATAAAAATGGAATTTTATCATCATACCAATTAAAAATATCTACCACATACAAAGCTATCATCAACCATAAGTAAGGATACAGTTGCAATGTTTGCATGTAATCTGCTGGAAATGTCATAATCATATACATGACAGAATTTACATTTCTTTAGAATGGCTTAGAATTTCCATGGTCTGGATTCTCATTAAGGGAAAAATAGCTGGTTTAAAGACCTCTTTCATCATGTCACTGTCTTGTTCTACATCTTCAAGTGACTCTCAGAATTTGTCAACTGAAAGCCAAAGTCATTAACTTTCTGGTTATTTTTCAGTCTTTTGTTCTAATTCTCCTTGAGATAAAAATCTTTACTCTAGGGGCTGGGGATAGAGCTCAGTTGTTAGAGTGCTTGCCTTGCATGCACAAGGCCCTGGGTTTGATCCCCAGCACCAAAAAGAAAAAAAGAAAAAAAAAATCTTTATTATATAAGAAGGTCTACCCTTCTTCCTGAACCTAGTCTATATTTGTTTTTAGTTTTGTACCAGGACTCATCCTTTATCCAGTCGCTGGAGTGCTTCCCCTCCTCTTTGAAGGAGAAATAATTGCTCACTTAAGCAATTATTTAAAAACTTTGTATGGAGAGCTGTTGCTGGGTGCTGGCAATCATTTTACTTTTCTCCTGGGAAGCCTGAAAAGTTTCCAAAATTACCTTAATAAATGTATCTGCTTTGGTTTGAATATAGTTTGCGCTCTCCAAAACTCCTGTTAAAATGTAATCCTCACTATGCAACATTAAGAGGTTGGACCAAGTGAGACCTTTAAGAGGTGATTAGGGCTCCACACTCATGAATGCAATAATCCATTCATGTGATTAAGGGTTGGTTAACGGATTAATTTAGGAGTGGATCTGAGACAAAATCTCTAGTGTGTCTATTCTAAGAACTGGTTTGGCTCAGGCTCTCCTGTTTTCCCTGTCTCTCACCATGTGATACCCTGCACTGTGTCAGGACTCTGCCAGCAAGAAGACTGTCGTTAGGTGTGGCCTCTCAACCTTGAACCATGAGCCAAATTAAATCTCTTTTTAAATAACTTACCTGGACTCTGGTATTGTGTTATTAGCAACAGAAAATCAACTAAGTCAAGATCATTATGAAATTGATTTTTTTGCTATGATTTGATATTTTGCATTCTCATATGTGGTTGATGTTGGTAAATATTCCACAGTTGGTTGAAATGTAGCACAGTTTAGCTTTTCATCATACACCCTCATCATCATATCATCATCATCAGTGTTATTAACTATGTTTACATATTCCTTCAAATTCTAATTCTTGGTCTTAATATTTTTAAAAAGTAATATTATAATTTCTTACCACAGTTGGGAGTGTGCCCATTTATCCCTGTGCTTCTCTCAATTACGTTTTATTTTTGATAGTTATTTTATTAGGTATGAAAAGATCATGGAACTTACATTCAGTTGAATTATGTATTTTATCTGATCTAAAATGATACATAATTACACTACTGCCTTAAAGCTCATCTTGGTTTTATTAATATTGCTATATCATGTAAATCTTGATTAATATATTATTTATTATACTTGTTTTTCAGCCTTATGCTGCTCAGTGTTATATATATTATAAGTAGCATATAGTTGGGTTTTTAAATCCAACTTTACAATGTCCTTTAATAATCTATTTATTGTTTTCACTAATTCTTTATTGAGTTATTTTATGTTTTTTCTTTCCCCAGACTTTTCCCTTTCTTTGTAATACTGTCCCTCTTTCTCTTGTGTTAAACTGATCCAGTTTTCTTTAAGTACCTTCTTTCATTCCCTACTATGGAAGAACCTTTCTATTTGTTGGTATTTCATGTTAGGTTTTAATTGGCATTCTTGACTTAAAAAAAAAAAATCTTAAAGTAGATGTGAGTCTTCATCCCCAAAATGAGGCATGCAAAGTTAATTAATTACATATTTTCCTCCTTACAAGTCTTCAATTAATATCATCTAACATTTTACTCATTCCTTATTTTAAATTTGTTCAGTGCTTTATTAAACAATCTCAGTTTATTCATATTCATCAGTAAGTTGAAAACTGCTTTTTGGTCTGGAGATGTAGCTCAGTGGTACAATGTGCAGGCAAGAGATTCCAAATTCAATCTCTGGCACTGTCATTACACCTTTATTCAT